AAATTTAATTACAAAGTAGTTTTTAATACATTCAATGATTAAAGAAATAATCACTCAAAGATTTACTTAATGCCTACTATGTGTTAGGCCCTGTGCTAAACACAAGAGATAAAGATGAATAAGACAATTTAAATCCTTGAAGGAAATATATTTAAATATATTTCTCCTTAAAGGAGATATACTTAGTAAAACAATTAAAATGTAGTTTATATGTGCTATAACATACAAAATGCTATGAGGAACAAAGATATTTCATTCTGCCTCAAGTTGAGAAGGAAAAGGAAGCAAAGGAAAGAAAGATCATCACAGAGCTCCAAAAACAGAAGGGAAAGAATGACTTCTCCAAGAAGACAGGACAAATGGGCATTTCAAACAAAAGCTAAGGTACAATGAAAGTATATAACTTTTAGAGGGGAATCCTGAATAGTCACTACTGCTGAAAGAAAAGTGTTGAGTGCAAGATATCCTAGTTAAAGTTGGACTTCATATCATAACCTCTAAAATAACAAAGTAATGTTGGAAAGTTATTTAATCAGGGATCATTTCCTTGCAGATAACAGAAACCAAAAATGGGGAAATTTATTGCAAGTTTAGAAGGCTATCTCACAGATTGTAAGGAAAATTCAAATAATTGGATCAGAGAAAGGGCAGAGAATAAATGTAGAGACCTGAAGAGTAAGTGTTCAGGGACCTTCATTTTGCCATTAACACTTTTCAGCTCCCAACTCACTCTGTGAAGATACCTCTCTGCTTTACCTCTAAGTGGGCAAAACATTCCTGTGAACAAGACAGCTACCATGATGTATAATCCAGTTTCTCCATGTCCAATTCTAAGTTCCTGCGAGAGAGGATTTTATTAATACTTGCTCAGGTAAGCCAATGGATTGGCTGGCCCTAGGTCAGGGGCCCCACTTCTGATTTAATTGGCTGCGTTATGTATGGGGCAGGGATAATACCCTTCTTGGCCTATACACGGATTATTTAAGAAGAGAATATTGGGAGGGAGCAGAAAGTACTAGTGTCTCTATGACATGCTACCCTCTTTTATTACCTATCATATAAACCTTTATTAACTGACATCGAATTTTAAACATCCTCAGGCCCAACATGATAACAATTAATATACTAGTCTTAACTGATGTTATAACCCCAGAAACTAGAATAGTGCCTAGCACATAGAAGGCATTCAATAAATATTTGCTGAATGAAATCATTAACAAACAAAAGAATGAATTCATTCACCTCACCCTTCAATAAAGAGAGACTAAGGGAAAAAGGAATGCTGGTTAATGTCACCCAGAGCAACAAAAATGTAACTTCTCTTTGTATGAGCTTTCTTCTCTGCCTACCTCCCTCCCCTCAAAAATCATTTCACCTTATCAGTTTTTTATGCACTAGCCTCTAAATTTATAGAGTTGTAAAATTTCTGGGCTTTAAACAATTTTGTGTAGTATAGCAAACAGTTGCTATTTTCTGAAAGATCAGCAGAAGGGCTCATTAAAGATACTCAATGTCATTAAAAGCTCATGAAATCACCATTTTGCCTTGCTTTGGGTTAATTTTCCTGAACAGCATTTTGAAACCAAACGTAGTGTTTAAAATGTATTGGTTATCCCTTGTGTCCTTAAGTGCTAAAAAAAAAAAAAAAAAAAAGGAAAGAAAAGAAAAACTTTAACCCTAGCTTGCCCACCCAGTGAAAAGTAGGCTTCTACCTAGAATTGTAAGCTAGAAACTAGACAAGAAAAATAAACATTCCATTAAAAAAACTGCACTTAAATACATTTAAGATCACTATGATGAAATATCTTAGAGAACTCTCGTGAAGAATTTCTGGAGCTTCATCACGAAAGCTGTTATTTTACCCTCAGCCGATCACTGCAGGAGATCTGTTTATAAGATACCCCACTTGGCCACTCACAGGATCACATCTTGTGGCTTACCCATATCACCTCCGTTCACCTTAATCTAACATCACTTCTGTATATTTCAGACTATAGTACAGCAGATGAGAGCAATGAAGGGGATTTCAGGTTTCATTTATGTATTCACACCTGCTTATGATTTTTTCAGACAAACCTATGCTGTGGGAGTATGGTGGAAATGTTGATTAAGTAATGTGAAATAAGTAAACAACAAAAAACTTTAAATTGTTGACATATGCCTCTTATACATACCCAATACTTTCCAAAAGGGCAATTTCTGTGGTTAAGACAAATTGGTATATGGTCCCATACACAAAAGCAGCTTCCATGACTGCTCTGTGCTCTGAAGAAGAGATAAAGGGAGTTGGGAGACAGGAAGAGTTAGTTTGTGTGACTCTATGTCAATTTCTTTTCTGAATATGATCCTACATTCTTTTATATTCTATTGTATTTAAAGAAAAATCCTTTGGAGGAATCCCAGTTGGGGATTTAACTGCCTTTAAATGCAAGCAGTTAAAGAAGCTATAAAAAGTCTACTCTATTCAAGGTAAGAGAAGAATTAAGAGGGAGTAGAAAATGAGTTATACTTTAGAATATGTGACAAATTTGTGTTAGTTTCTTTCTAGTAGTAGGAAATAGAGTATGAATTCACCATACAACTTTCATATGTTATTTTTATATATGTGTGTCTGTGTACATTGTTTCTGGGTTAGTTATTTTTTAAACCAAACTTATACATATTAAAGAGACAATTCTACAAGGTATATTAAGAAAAACAGCCATTCACCCTCTATCCCATTTCCAATTCCCAAGGGACAACCACTTTCAACTCTTTCACTATTTCTTTTGGTATTTACCTCTGAGTCTCTAAATGACATTCTTATATTCTTATTTTCTGATAAAAGAAATAGATATATATGTATATAAAGTTTCAGTATTATCTATTGAGTTCCCACTATGGAAGATGATAAATTAGCTTTCTTTTCTGAAACACAGCTCCACAAATGTACACACCTCTCATCCCCCCAACTCTCCCAATATAGTTCTAATTTTATTAGATTGATACTCAGTATTTACATTGTTATAACTCAGTAAATACTATTTACAGATGAGCCATACAGTACAGAATGACCACTTTTCCTTTTTTAAACAACCTCTTCACTGCAGTTATAACTATCTTTTTCAATTTTTGTTTTGATTTTTTTCTAATTTTTTCCTAAACTCTTCCACAACTATCCAACTCTCTCAATACTTCAAATATTATCAGGTATACTATCAATTCTACCTTAGAGACATTCCTGCAGAGCCTTCTAATTTGCTCTAATATGGACTATTGCTACTTGGCCTGCTGCACGACTGCCATCCTGGGGATTCTCTTATTCTCTGTCTTAGGCTGGGTCCTTTTGACTATTACTCATATCTTCTTTACTGCTCCCTTGCTCCCATTCTCTAGCACCTTCCTATGAGAGGATATATGGAATACACATTTTTTGCGATCCTACATGTGTCTTAATTCTACTTCCGCAATTAACTATACTTGACTGGGTATAGAATTTGAGGTTCAAGTCACTTCCCCAGAGAATTCTGAAAACACTGCTCCATTTATTTTCATTTCCAGCACTGCAATTTAGAAGTTCAATGCCATTCTTATTCTTGATCCTTGCATTCCAAACTTTCCCCCGACCCCCCGGAAGATTTTAGAATAGTCTTTTTTTCTAATATTCTAAAATTTCAAAATGAGATGCCTTGGTGTGGCTCTACAGTCATCCACTATGCTGGGACTCAATGGGCCTTTTCAACATGGAAGCTCCAATCCTTTGGTTCTAAGAAATTTTCTTGAACTATTTCTTTGATGATTTCCTACTTATTTTATTACCCATTTTCTCCTCATTGCCATTTCTAGACAGTTATCTTCCTCTCCCCCACTTAATCTCCTAGCACTTGAATCCCATATCATATTATTCTACTCACCACCCTACCATGTTACAGTCATCTATCTCCCCAGCCAGGATCACTCCTCCTCATTCCATGAAGAATTTAGCTTCTGTTACACTGTTACTCTCTCCAATACTACTCCTGCCATAACCCTTGGTAATTTCATTATCCACATAGATGATCCTTTCAAAATCCTAGCCTCCCAATCCTTGGCCTTCTCTACTACAGTGATCACTCTTCAACCCTACCTTAACACTCAATCCAGGCCTTGTAAGTACCATGTCTAGCTTCTCGCCACACACAAACACACATCTCCAAGTCACTCTGTCTAGCACAGAACTCTAACACATCAAGACCTGCAATCCATAAATCTAACCACTTGTCACTGTCCTTCACCCTACTCTGGTCTTCTTTTCCCTCCTAATTAAGTTTAAATTCCATGGTCTATCTTTGTAATCATTCCCCTGCCTATTAGGCTAAAGTACAATCCAGGCTAAGTCCAACACCCTGCCTATTCTGTGTACTTACACCCACAAAAGTCAATATAGCTGGAGAGGGGGGAAAAGAAAATAAAAACATGGTAGCATCATCATGCTAATGATCTCACTTTAAATTACTGATATTAAATATTACTGCTGCCTGGCAATTATTCTTTATTTCCAGATCTCCTAAACTATGTCATCTCTTCCTTTCTCTTCTCAAACTAGCTGATGACTTTATTTCTATTTCACTGATAAAACAGAACTAATTTGAAAAACAAACCAAAAACACTTCCACAAGCCCCAACACTGTATCTATCTAGTCACTTACTTGCATGGATGCCAATATTCTTTCTTGTCCTGCCTTTCACAACAGATGAACCTTCTGTGCTCCTACCAAGAGCCTCTCCCCTTGCTCACTAGATTCCATGCCCTCTTGCCTACTCAAAGGCCTTGCTCCAGAAATGCTCCCTTCTTTTTCCTTCGATACATTTTCCCCTTTCTAATGGGTCTTTCTCAACATACAAATATACTCCTTAAAAAATTCTTCTCTTAGCCCCACATTCTTTTCCAACTTTTCCAGCCACTGCCCCATTTTTCTCTTTCTCTTTATAGCAAAACTTTTCTAACAAGTCTCTGTATTCAGTCTCCAGTTGCTCTCCACCTAGTCCCCCTTTACCCCTCCTATCAAGCATTTACTCCTAATATTCTATATAAACTGTGCTTGCCAAGAGGTCACCAGTAACTTCCATATTGCTAAACATAATGGCCAAGTGGCAGTTCTTATCTTAATTAACTTTTCAGCATCATTTAACACAGTTGTTCCTACTCACTTCCTTAAAATCCTGTCTTGTCTTTGCTCACAAGGCACTCCTACCAAAAAGACTGTCCCTTCTGTATACTTTACTGGTTTCTTCTTACCTCACTGATGGGTTTAGTCTTCTCCTTTCCATCTACCCTTACTCTCGTAGTGATCTTCTGTGGTCCAGAACTCAATTTCTGAAATTTATATCCCTTATACTATTTACAGACGAGCCATACAGTACAGAATGACCACTTTTCCTTTTTTAAACAACCTCTTCGCTGCAGTTATAACTATCTTTTCCAATTTTTGTTTTGATTTTTTTCTAATTTTTTCCTAAACTCTTCCACAATTATCCAACCCTCTCAATACTTCAAATATTATCAGTTATACTATCAATTCTACCTTAGAGACGTTCCTGCAGAGCCTTCTAATTTGCTGTAATATGGACTATTGCTAGTCCATATAAAAGGTAGTCTAGCAAAATCCAACTACTTTGTTGATATCTCTTTTTGGATGTCTAATGGGTATTTACAAGTATGATGTCAAAAAGTGGATTCCAGTACTTCCTTTCCAAACTGTCTATTCCCTATCTTCTCCACCTAAATTTTCACCTTCTGAGTAGCTCAGGCCCAAACCCAGAGCCACCCTTACCTGATATTTCTTAGTCCATATCCAACATGTCAGCAAATTCAGTTACCCTGTCTCCAAAATAATGCTAAAATTCAAATTTGTTACCACTTCCATTGCTAATACCCTGGTCCAAGTCACCCCCCATCATCTCTTGCCTGCATTTTTGCAATAACTTCCTAATCTTCTCCCTTACTCTGCCCTTACTCCTTCCAATCTACCAACATTTATCAAATACTAGAAACTACTATATCAGGTACCATAAGCACTGTAAGGAAATCAAAAGAGAAATAGCTAACACTTTCAGAGCAACTAGTATACTTCAGGAACCATTTTAATTATTCAAATGCATTTGATTCAGCCTAGGGAGCTGAGGTTAAGTAACTTGTCCAGGGGCACATAAGTAATTGGTTGTGCATTGAGTCTAACCAGCAGTCTGGCTCCGGAGTTCTTGTTCAACCACCATGTTGAACTGCCCATTTAAAGAAAAATAACATAGTAGCAAAGATGCTTTAAATTTATTTTAGATATTAAGACTGTCATCAGAAAATACACTACTTTAGGTTCTTCAACACACATAAGTTCAGGGGCACAGCAAATCTTAAAAGAAAGAGAATAAATACCTGGTATTCCAATGGCTCTTACGTATGAGAATACAATATTTTCCTTTCCTTTCAGAGCATTTTCTATGTTCTGCAGGTCTTCCAGGGTGGTAATATATTTTACTTCATTAAAAAGAAGAGCACTGAAATAAACACAGATATAATTAGTAGAAAAATCATATACGGAATTAGTTACATAATATGTATTTTTGTTAAGGAACCTAATCAAAAGGAATTTATCTCCTTTGAACAAATCATCAGTAAGAACTTAAGCATTTTAATAATACTGAATTAAAATTACTCTCTGTATCATTAGTCTGTCCCTGAAAACATCAACCAGGGACAGTTGTGAAAAATGGTACTCACTCTCTATCACAATGACCTCAACAGATGTGAGCTGTATTCACTAACATCCTAGTCTGGCCAAATAATCCCAAACAGATCTCTCTGCTGTTTTGAGCCCTTCACACATTTAAACAGCAGGCTTCCTTCCATGGCCTAATGAGGACCTACATGACCTAGACCTTGTCTGCCTCTCTAACCTCATTTTGTTCTATCATTCCTCACATCTGTGACATTCTAGACACACCTCAGGGCCTCTGCATACACAGTTTTCTTTGCTGGAAGCTATTCCCTTTGCTCCATTTCATACATTTGGTCTCAGTTTAACATCATCACCTCAGAGAAGCCTTCCCTGTTGGTCTTGTGTAAGTAAGCCTGTAGCATTTTTCTCTCATTTCACTGCTTGATTCCTTCGTAGTACTTATGACCATTTATATTTATATATTTACTAGTTTATCCCTGCCTCTTATTAAATTATTATCCCCTTGAGGCAAGGACCTTGGGTATTTTATCAATCAATAAATATTTGTTAAATGAATGAAAGAAAAAATAGGGCAGGAATTATTTACTCCCATCCTTCATTTGAAGAATTGGAAGTTCAAAACACTGAAGTTTACTCAAAAACACATTTATTGGCCGGGCGTGGTGGCTCACGCCTGTAATCCTAGCACTCTGGGAGGCCGAGGCGG